ACAACAATTACTAGCACGTGGGGACACTCCGTTCTCACCAGTGCCAGGGTTTTCATAGGAGGCGGGCAATACCCCCACTTTGTGGGGGGGCCGGTTCAAGCTCTACCAAATTTCCAAACGACTCTTCGCCACCACCCACACCCAGCTTCCCGCCCTATGACGTTCGGACACTTCACTTCGTGGCATGCGGACGACCGTGGCTACTATTCAGGGCCCCGCGGCCGACGACGACGGCGTGCGCGCGCGAAGAAAAAACGAATGTGTCCCGCATGGTATTATTTGACAGGGATGATGGCCCTGGCAGGTGCGCAACCGTTGTTGCAGAAGTTCGAAAAAGTTGCTCGCAAAAGCCCGTTTGACAGAAATGTTTAAAAAGTGTTGGGTTTCCTACGAATCCGCAAGAGCGCGCGGGATGAGATTTTGACATTTTTTTGTTGAAAAACCATTGGTTTTTTGATGTTTTTATGTTAAAATCGCTACGAACACTAAGGTTTTGGAAGGATTTCGTCTTGCGCGCGCGAATGTCCACTTTACCTTATTTTTTGCAAGGGATTCTTGAAATTTGATTATATTAGAACAAGAAATTTCATTTTATAGTGTTTTTTGCAAGGGAAAGCGGATTACAACAAAACAGCCGGATCTGGATCACATCGTTTTACCTGAGGCTTCCTCACGAAAATGATGAAAACTGTGGATGCGGCCTAGGCGCGGGGGGGGGGGGCGTGCACCAGGGGGCCCAACAATAATTATTCTTTAGAATTAATAATGTTCAACACCAACACCAACAACAACAACAACAACAATCACTTTACCCGAACGCTCAGTGTTCTCACCAGTGCCAGGGTTTTCATGCGACGCCAGCCAATACCCCCACTTTGTGGGGGGGCAGTGCAAGCTCTACCAAATATCCACACGACTCTTCGCCACCACCCACACCCAGCTTCCCGCCCTATGACGTTCGGACACTTCACTTCGTGGCCTGCGGACGACCGTGGCTACTACACTGGCGTGGAGTACACACCCACAGAAGTTGTTAAGCCTACGTTCGTACACCCACAGAAGTTGTTAAGCCTTGTTAACCCACAGAAGTTGTTAAGTCTTCCACAGAACATCTGTTGCATATGATGCATATGGTACATGATACACCTGATACACATGATACGTACTCACAAGATAGTTGATCACATCTTTAGGGCAAATTCCTGAGGGATGTGGGAATACACAAGAGAGAGAGGATATGGTTGTCCCGATGGTTGTCTCGATGGTTGTCCCGATGGTTGTCCTGATGGTTGTGGTTGTCCCGATCGTTGTCCCGATGATTGTCCCGATGGTTGTCCTGATGGTTGTGCTTGTCCCGCGGTGCTAAAATTCTTAAGAAGCCCAATGGTTTTTGGAGATTTCGGCGTGCGCGCGCGAAGAAAAAACGAATGTGTCCCGCATGGTATTATTTGACAGGGATGATGGCCCTGGCAGGTGCGCAACCGTTGTCGCAGAAGTTCGAAAAAGTTGCTCGCAAAAGCCCGTTTGACAGAAATGTTTAAAAAGTGTTGGGTTTCCTACGAATCCGCAAGAGCGCGCGGGATGAGATTTTGACATTTTTTTGTTGAAAAACCATTGGTTTTTTGATGTTTTTATGTTAAAATCGCTCCGAACACTAAGCTTTTGGAAGGATTTCGTCTTGCGCGCGCGAATGTCCACTTTACCTTATTTTTTGCAAAGGGATTCTTGAAATTTGATTATATTAGAACAAGAAATGTCATTTTATAGTGTTTTTTGCAAGGGAAAGCGGGGGGGAACAAAACAACCGGATCTTGATCACATCGAATTACCTGAGGCTTCCTCACGAAAATGATGAAAATGTAGCTGCGGCCTAGGCGGCGCAGGGGGGCCGTGCACCAGGGGCCCCAACAATAATTATTCTTTAGAATTAATAATGTTCAACCACAACCACAACAACAGCAACAACACCAACAACAGCACCAACAACAACACCAACAACAACAACAACAAGTGGCACGTGTGCCATGGCTCTTGCGCACAAAAGGAAGGTGGGGGAGGAGGAAGTGGAGGAGGAGGGGGAAGAGGGGAAACACATCGCCCTTCGGGGCCCAGCAACGGGGCCCAACTCCCAGGTGGGGAGGGGGGGGGGGAGGTGGTTTGCGTCACGACGCGGAATAACACTGTCGGGGCGGAGGGGGCACGGGGCGAAACCCCCACTGGAGCGTTGGGGGCGCGGGGAGGGAGGTGGGGGAGGTGGTGTGCGTCGCGACGCGGAATGAAGCGTTAGTGGCGGAAGGGGGCAGTGGGCGGGGTTTCCGCTGGGGCGCTGGGGATGCGGGGCGGCTCGGGGCAGAGCACCACGGGGGGTGCGACGCGGAATGAAGCGTTCGCCGCGGAGGGGGCAGCGGGCGGGGTTCCCGCTGGGGCGCTGGGGACGCGGGGGGGCTCGGGGCAGAAAACCACGGCGCGGGGGTCCCACCGTGGTGGCGCTAGGGGCTGGGGGCGCGGGTGGGGGGGGGTGCGGTGGGGGGGGGGCGAGGCGCGATTCGGAATAAAGCGTCCGTGGCGGAGGGGGCAGTGGGCGGGGTTCCCGCTGGGGCGCTGGGGGGCGCGGCGGGGTTCGGGGCAGAGAGCCACGGCGCAGGGGTCCACTGTGGCGCTGGGGACGTGGGGGGGGGGTGCGCGACGCGGAATCAAGCGTTCGTGGCGGAGGGGGCACTGGGCGGGGCTCCCGCTGGGGCCTTGGGGACGCGGGGTGGCTTGGGGCAGAGAACCACGGCGCGGGGGTCCCACTCTGGCGCTGGGGACGCGGGCGGTGGGGTGGGGGGTGCGATGCGGAATATAGCGTTCGTGGCGGAGGGGGCGCTGGGGCGTTGGGGACGCGGGGGGGTCGGGGGCGACAGCGGGGACACGAAGGGAATACGCGAAGTAGGCCACGAAGGGCGGCAGCGGGGACACGAAGGCAATGCGTATGGGGCCACGAAAGGCTGCGAACGAGCGGGGGCCACGAAGGGCATACGTATACGGGGCCGCGGACGGCAAGGACGGGGCCACTAAGGGCAGCAACGGGGCCACGAAGGGCGGCGAGGGGGCCACGAAGGGCGACAACGGGGCCACGACGGGCAGGAAAGGGGCCCCGAAGGGCGACAACGGGGCCACGAAGGGCATGCGCATGGGGCCACGACGGGCGCGAACGATCGGGGACCACGAAGGGCAGATCATGCGGGGCCACAGAAGGCAACGACGGGGCCACTGAAGGTAGCAACTGGGCCACGTAGGACAGTGAGGGGGCCACAAACAGCAACAGCGGGGCCACGAAGGGCATGCACATGGGACCACAACGGGCGCGAACGAACGGGAGCCACGAAAGACATACGTATATTGGGCCGCGGAGGGCACGGACGGGGCCACTGAGGGCAGCAACGGGGCCACGAAGGGCAGCGAGGGGGCCACGAAGGGCGACAGCGGGGCCACGAAGTGCATGCAGATGGGGCCATCACGGGCGCGAGCGAGCGGGTGCCACGAAAGGCATACATATATGGGGCCACGAAAACCAGCCAGGGGGCCACGAAAGGCGGCGAGGGGGCCGTGAAGGGCTGCAACGGTGCCACGAAGGGGTGCGACGGGGCCACGAAGGGCAGCGAGGGGGCCGAGAAGGGCTACAACGGGCCCACGAAACAAAGCGAAACGAAGGGGCCACGAAGGGTTGCAAGGGGGCCACGAAGGGCGGCGAGTAGGCCACGAGGGGCTGCAATGGGGCCGCGAAGGGCAGCGAGGGGGCTACGAAGTGCTGCAACGGGGCCACGAAACAAAGCGAGGGGGGCACGAATGGCCGCAACAGGGCCACGAAGGGCAGCGAGATCCCGATTTTTAAGTAATCTGTCAGTGGGTCCTAAACGTAAGCGGGACTCCTGGGTGCCTGGGTGTCGGGGGCGCGGCGCCCAAGTAAATTGCAAGAAATTCCAATGCAAGGGCGCTATTCTCCAGTAGATTGCAAACAAGGCTCCAACGAGAGCGCGACTCCAGAGCGCCGGGAGAGCGATTCGTGAATACATTGTAAAGAAGTCCCATGCGAGAGCGCGATTCCTGAACAAAATGCAAGGGAGTCTCGGGCGGGAGTGCGGGTCCTGGCTAAATTGTGAGGAAGTCTGAGGCGGGAACCGTTGTTGCTGTAACCGGGGGGCCAACGACACACTTTGACCTTCAAGACTTTCCCTTGTAAAAAACAGGGTGCGAGCCCCGGGAGGGGCACGTCAATCGAGAAAAAGCAGTGTGCACCGGACGGGGGGATCAACATTAATTATTTTTCAAGAGCTCAACAACAACAGCAACAACAACACAAACACAAACAAACACACCAGCGAAAGCCCAACTCGCCGACATCCTGTGTGGAAAAACAATACGCGAGGGGGGCGAACACTCCGAGACAGATTCCGCCACATATTCAGGGGAGGGCGGGGAGTAGTGGGGAGGAGGGGGAGGAGAGGGCGGGGGAGGAGGGGGAGGAGTGGGAGGATGGATGGGTGGATGGATGGATGGATGGATCATCGTCATCATCATCATCATCATCATCATCATCATCATCATCATCATCATCGTCATCATCATCATCATCATCATCATCATCATCATCATCATCATCATCATCATCAAGGAGGCCTTGGCGGCCGTCTGCACGCAGACGACCGCCAGGGCCCCAGATGTTGAAAGGTACCCGCGCCGCCGCGAGCGCGCCGCACGGACGCCGCGGTGACGAGGGAAGGACCGCGAAGCAGCCCAGACAGGCATCCGCCCGAAGCTGGCCTACCCAGCGTGCAAGCCAGGGGGGCGGAAACCACCCCCGCGGGGACAACCACGGCAGCCGCCAGCGGCCGCCCACACCCCAAGGGGGAACGGGAACGCACGGGGCGAGCCCGACCCAGGCGGCGGCCCCCAAACCCCGCGCCGAGGGGCGCCGCCCAGAATTTCGAGGCGGACCCAGCAGGACAGAGCGAGGGCCCTCACCTCAGCGCCTCTCCGGCCTTGTCGGTCTCGGCGCCCACCCAGACGAGGCGCCACCACCCGCCACCTTCTCCGCCAGGTCGAGAGCCTGCTGGCAGGCCTCGGCGGCGTCGTTCTTCATCTCGTCTAGCTTCCGCTCAGTGTCGGCGAGCGCCACTCGGAGGCTCATCTCCTCAGGCTTCGCATCCGATTGCTTGGACTCCAGCTCTACGACCTGCTGCGCCAGGTCATCGCTGCCCCTGGTCGCCGAAGTAAGTGCCGCCCTCACGTACTCAAGCTCGGCTTCGAGCCCTGCGACCATGCTGTGGTACTCGGAGGCCGTCGCCACGTTGTTGTCCAGCTTTGCGTGCAATGTCACGACCTGCTGCTGCAACTGCTTCACTTCCGATTCCGCCGGGGCTCTGGCTGTCTTCAGCTCCGAGATCTCCCAGTGCATCATCTCCTTGATGGTCGCCTCGTGCAGCTGGAACTTGCCGCCATCGATATCCTTGCACTGGGACTGCTTGCTTTCGATGTCCATCTCCATGCGCTGCGAGCCACCCGTACGCTGCGAGCCACCCGTCGAGTCCGCCTGGTCCGAGAGATCCGCCTGCTCGGACACGTCCGCCGTCTCGATGGAGTCCATGTCCGTGCACCTGCGTCTGCGGCCTCGTTGCCGCCTCCTCTTCTCCTTGGGCGACAGGCCGAGCACCCCGGCGCCCTCGCTGAGCTCGACGTGGGCGGCGAGGTTGCGGTCCAAGCGCACGGCTCTTGGCACTGGCCGCCAAGAGACTTGCAGCACCAGCGCCCGTTCGATCGCCTGGAGCCGCGCCGAGACTTCCAGTTGGCACTCCCCGTCGAGGAGCGCCGCCTTCTCCGCCTCCTGGGGCGTGGTGCCGCGCTCGTTCTGGCCCAGCAGCATGGCGCCAGTGCGGAGGGCTGCAGCGACGGCGTCCGCCTCCGCCCTCAGCCGCACCCGCCGCCGCCGCCAAAGCCACAGGGGCGAGCGCCGCCACCAGGTCCCCGCGAGGGGGGCGGGACCGTAGCCGCGCCCGGGGCCATGGCCGCGGCGAGAGGGGAGGCGATTTCCCCGGAAGAGAAGCCACGGACACAACGCTGCCGCCCGCCTGGCGCCCAAGGCAGGCTTGAGCCAAAATGGCTACGGAGGGAGGAGGGGGAGGAGGAGGAGGAGGAGGAGGAGGAGGAGGAGGAAGGAGGAGAAGGAGGGAGGAGGAGGAGGAGGAGGAGGAGGGAGGAGGAGAAGGAGGAGAAGAGGAGGAGGAGAGAGGAGGAGGAGAGGAGGAGGAGAGGAGGAGAGAGTAAAAAGGAGGAGGAGGAGGAGGAGGAGGAGGAGGAGGAAGGAGGGAGGAGGAAGTTGGAGGAGGAGGAGGATGAGGAGGAGGAGGAGGAGGAGAGAGGAGGCGGAGGAGGAGGAGGAGGGAGGAGGCAGGAGAGCAGGAGGAGCAGGAGGAGGAGGAGAAGGAGGAGGGAGAGGAGGAGGAGAAGATGATGATGATGAGGAGGAGCAGGAGGAGGAGAGGAGGAGGAGGAGGAGGAGCGGAGGAGGAGCAGAGAGAGGAGGAGGAGGAGGAGGAGTAGGAAGATGATGATGATGATGATGATGATGATGATGATGATGATGATGATGATGATGATGATGATGATGATGATGATGATGATGATGATGATGATGATGATGATGATGATGATGATGATGATGATGATGATGATGATGATGATGATGATGATGATGATGGATGATGATTGATGATGATGATGATGATGATGATGATGATGATGATGATTGATGATGATGATGATGAGATGATGATGATGAGGAGGATGGAGGGAGGAGAGGAGGAGGAGGAGGAGGAGGAGGAGGAGGAGGAGAGGAGGAGGAGGAGGAGGAGAGAGCCGCAGGCAGTCCCGCCCAGAGACTCCGGCGAGAGCGGCCAGGAGAGCTCGCGTGCGGACGGCGTGCACCACCCCCGCCTGGCAGCAGTGCCGCGCGCCAGAGGGCCCCCCCCCGTTGATGAAGGTTTTTGTTATGCATTGCTTTGCCGATCGGCGCGTGCCCTCGCAACCTCCTCCTGCTCCTCCTCCGCCTCCTCCTCCTCGTCCTCCTCCTCCTCCTCCTCCTCCTCATCATCATCATCATCAACAACATCAACAACATCAACATCAACATCACCATCATCATCATCAGCATCATCATCATCAGCATCAGCATCAGCATCAGCATCATCATCATCATCATCATCATCATCATCATCATCATCATCATCATCATCATCATCATCATCATCCTGCTCATCCTTCCTCCCGTACGCTCGGCTCCTCGTCCTCCTCCTCCTACTCCTACTCCTCCTACTCCTCCTACTCCTACTCCTCCTACTCCTACTCCGCCTCCCCCTCCTCCCTGGCCGTCCCCCCTCCCCCACCTCGCGGCGTGCCCTCCCACCCCCTCCCATGGAGTGGATCTGGGCTGTCTCTGGCGCCTGTTTCATGCAGGTGGAGTCTCCCCACCCCTCCCCCCAGGACGCACTGTGGCAAACAGTGGCATTCAGCAGAGGTCCGGACCATGCCCCCCTTCTTCCGCGCAATGTTGATTCGGGCATGTCCCCCTCTACAGGAGGAGCAATCAAACGCAGTCAGAAAATAGTCAGGAGACGATTCTTCTAGTACCTTTTAACCATTGTTGAGCATGTTTTCAATACTTTCGCCCAAAATCCCCCTGAGCCCAGTGACGAAGCGCCGAACAAGAGAACGGTCACCAGGTGAGCGCTGCTGCATGCCTCGCGAGCACGGCAGGCGGGCGAGGCCAGGAGCACCCAGGTTCGACAAGGGGCCCTCGTCGAGCCTAGGCGCTCCCAGCGCCGAGAGAGGAGGGCGGAGGGGGAAGGACAGGGGGAGGGCCATCCCCAGATCCCATCGCGACGTGGAAAAAATCCCGACGGGAGGTTTGTCGTTATTTTTGCCCTCCGGGGACCCTTCTCGGGCCTCGAGGCCGTCAAACAGCGACTCAGGATGAAAACCCTGTTCGGGGGAAGGGGTCCAGACCTCTGGGGGTCGACGTTGTGAAGCAATCACGACTTCGGGGGTCTGGGTCGCACAGCTTCGCTGGAGCTGCACCTGCCCTCCAGGCGGCTAGAGGCCGAAGGCGCCACGGCTGAAACGGGGACGATCTTCAGAGAGTCGCTCCGCACCAAGATGGGGCGCGCGTCTCGGACGCCACCCCCGTGGGGCAAGACAAGCCCAGGGTCTAGATTGGGTCAATATGGAAAAGGCGACCAGGGCCGGCAGGGAGAAAACTCTAAGGAAAATGTTCGGGAAATCTGCAAATTGGGTTTTGGGCATCCCCACAACCTCCAGAACCAAGGCTTTACAAAACTCATGTGAAATCTTTAGGCAATCTCCGCTGTGCAGGAATCTCCAGACGCTCTCTACAACATCAACAGAACATCTTTGGCGTGCAGAAGTCTTTGGACACTCCACGGGACACTCTCCGACTGATATATATATATATATATATATATATATATATATATATATATGAGTAGGCCAGGGTGGGGGCCCGGGCCGGTGCCATCATCCCCCATGGGCGCCACCCGGAAATTTTGGGGGGTCGCAGACTCCCTGGGACTGCCCCGGGCCGTTTCCAAATTGCCCACGACAGGCCACGCGGGCCGTACAGATGGTCAAGAAAGCCTCAAGAGGCCCCGAAGACGCCCAAGAGCGCCCCAAGAGGGCCCGAGATGGCTTCAAGATGGCCGAAGAGGGCCCCAAGAGGGCTTTCAAGACGCAAACATCGGGCCATTCCCTTCGTAAAACGTACATTTTCAGCATACTCGCTGGCTTCGTCTTCACAGTGCCCCAGACGCCCCCGCGGAGCCCCACCACAGCCCAAGAGAGACCAAGAGGGCCCAAGACGGCCCAAAAGGGTCGCGCCGTGAGGCTCACGGAACCCCCCAAGACGGCCCAAGAGGCCCCGAAGCCGGCCCAGGAGGCCCCCAAGACGGCCTCAGGGAGGCCCCAGAGGGCCCCGTTCGAAATCATGTTTCCGGAAGCCTCTCCGGGAACATGATATTTGGGTAGGGACCCCTAGAGGGCCCCAGGACAGCCTCAGCGAGGCCCAAGAGGGCCCGAGATGGCTTGAAGATAGCCGAAGAGGGCCCCAAGAGGGCCTTCAAGAGGCAAACATCAGCCCGTTCGCGTAGTAGAAGGTACATCTTCAGCATACTCCCTTGCTTCGTCTTCGCAGTGCCACAGACGCATTTGAGGAGCCCCAAGACAGCCCAAGAGATACCCAAGAGGGCCCAAGACGGCCCAAAAGGATCGTTCTGTGGGGCTCACGGAACCTCCCAAGACGACCCAAGAGGCCCCAAAGCTGGCCCAGGAGGCCCCCAAGACGGCGCCCAGGAGGCCCAAGAGGGCCTCGTTCGAAATCATGCTCCCGGAAGCCTCTCAGGGAACAATCCGGGAACATGATCTCCGGGTTCCCAGGACGCCCAAAGACAGCCCCCAGAGGCTCCGCACACGCCGAAGATGGCCTTAGGACGGCCGACGACGCCGCCAAAACGCTCCAAGAGCGCCTCCAGAGGCCCCTCCAAAGGGCCCCAGAAGCAGAAAATCATGCATTTTCCAATGGTTGTTGAAGCATTCTTGCGCTCTCCCATGTTCCGCTTCCCCACGGTCCCGGACCGCGTCAGAGGCCCTTCAGATCGCTCCGAGACGGCCGAAGAGGCTCCCAAGAAAGCCCAGAGACGGCCCAGGAGGCTCCCCAGATAACGCCCCAAGGGAGCCCCAAAAGCGACCCAAGAGGGCCCGAAGAGCGCGACCTTCTAAGGTCTCTGGCCTGAGAGGCTCCTAGGACGCCCCCGGAGGCCATCAAGAGGCTCCCAAGAAGCCCCGTGAGGCTCCCAAGAGGCCCTTGGAAGCCGCCATAGGCCCCCAAGGGGCCAACATGGAAGCCCCTGGCGGGCCCCCAAGACACTTCGGTACATCGTATCCAGATAGCTTTCCAGGAACATGATTCCTTGGCCGCCCACCGCCCCAACCATGTTTCCAATTATTAGGCTTGCCGACAAGGCTACAAGGCGCCCCTCGGTAAGCCCACAGAGGCCCCCCTCTTCGAGAGCCGAACAAATCATGCTCCGGGAAAGCTTCCCGGGAACATTATTCTCTATCTCGGAGTAGGCCCGGGGGGGGGGGGGCGGACCGCTGCCTGTTCCCCCCATCGGTGCCCATCGGGGGTTGCGGGGGGGGGTCCATAGCTCCTGAGGCGGCCCGAGCCCGCCCTGAAGCAGGCCACGACAGGCTAAGGAGGCCCCGAGAGGGCCCAAGACGGTCCCACGAGGCCCCGAAGACGCCCAAGATGCCCTCAAGACAGCCGACGAGGACTCCAACACGCTCCAGGACGGACTCAAGAGGCTCCCCAAGAGGGCCCTGGGAGGCAAGATTCGCTCGTTTTCCGAGTGTTTGGGATTTTGGCGTTCTCGCTTTTCCCGCTTTCCAGCGCTCCCTCACGGCCTCGGAGGCCCTTCAGATCGCTCCAAGAAGGCCCACGGGCCCCGACGAGGGCCCCAAGACGGCCCAGGATGCTCCCCAGACAACCCAAGTGTGCCCCAAGAGGTTGCCAAGAGAAGGCCCAGAGGGGTCCCGAGGCGGCCCGGGCCCGTCCCGAAGCAGGCCACGACAGACTAATGGAGGTCCCGAGAGGGCCCTCGATGGTCCCAAGAGGCCCCGAAGACGCCCAAGATGCTCTCAAGACGGCGACGAGCACTCCAACACGCTCCAGGACGGACTCAAGAGGCTCCCCAGAGAAGGCCCTGGGAGGCAAGATTCATTAATTATCCGATGGTTTTTGAAGGATTTTTGGCGTTCTCGCTTCCCCCGCTTTCCAGCGCTTCCTCACGGCCTCGC